AAAAAAAAAATCATATAATTTTATAACAATTCTACTACACTATTTAACAATATTCCTTTTTTATTATATAATAAAATAATAATTAAATATTATATGGTTAACAACAATAAGTAAAACTGTTACTTTATCTTATATCAAGGGATAAATTTATATGCTAAAATTAAATTTTTATTAGTATAAATGTTTTAGTGAGATAATATATTAATTATTGTACAAGCTAGCTCTAACATGCTTATATTTAATGTTTTCAAAAATATAGAAAAAAACATATAGTAACTCTATTGTTTTTTAGATTTTAACGTTGATTAAAAGAGGTAAAAATTCCTAATTTTTTAGACTTAAACGTTGATTAACACCATAGATTGAGAGTCTATATTTAGTAAAATTCCTAATTGTAATAAAAAAATTAATTTTTGCTATATTTTAGAATATCTTTAAATTCATTATAAAAAAGAAAAAGATAAAAAAAAAACTAAAATGAAAAAAACAAGTCAGCTATATATCGATTTGTTGTACTCCTCAAATCATACAATTTGGTTACAAGGAAAGGAAACTCATTGATCAAAATATTATTTTCTCAATAGTCTTAATGTACAAGAGACTGACTCCACTTGAATATTATAAAATTTTTATTGAACATTGTACAATTTTCTTGCGTATTATAAACTTTTATTGAATATTGCATCTTATAATATAATATTCTCCAAATAAAGATATCCGGGTCACGTACTATATATATCCCGTACATTTTTTTTTATTCATGTATATAATTATAAGCCTGGATAAATAGCCTTAAAATTGTGCATCTCGTACATTGCACGGGCTCTGTACTAGTAGGAATGAAGAATAGAATGATAATTCTATTCTCGTGTCATTCCTCGCAATCATGTGATTATGGAATCGGTAGAGCGAATTTTGCTTTTACTAGCAAAGAAGCGCTTTCTTTACCTCTAATCAATAATATCTCATCTCTATAAAAGCAACCAAACCAAAAGTTCCTAAAAACCCTAGTCGCAAATTTTAGCTCTCGCTCTCTCTTAAACCTTTCTTCTTCAATATTTTTTTTATCTTCTCCAATATTTATATTGATTTTTATGTATGCAGAATGATTACGGTTCAAACTGCCCTTCTCAGGTATTAGTCCCAATTTGGATAGAAAAAATCGAGATTTAGGTTATTTTCGGTGCGAACGTAATTCAATTTTTTTTTTTGGTAAGAACATTTTGTTTGGATCTTCATTTAGTTAATTGAAATCCTAATACGTTTTGGACAATCGACAGCACCACGAAGAAGGCGAGCATGTTGAAAAAGGAGCTAAGAGAGTTGGAATTTCAGCGTCAGCACTCGAGGGCATTATCAGAAGTCAGCCAGGAGCAGCAAAACGTGCTGAACTCGGCGGTTTGGGACATGGTGGCTTTGATAGACGAGCTGAATCAGAAGATGGCTAAGGCGGAGGGAAAAGCCGAGAGTGCCGAGGATAGATGTGTTATTTTATCGGAGACTATTTCAGATTTTATTAAGAGACTGGAGTTTATGAGGTCCCGAGTGGAGTTATTGGCTAATGCGTTGAACCAAACTACTCTTGAGTTAAATTCATGTTCGAAGGAGATTGTTGATAGGAGCAATCGGATAATGGAGATGGCTTTGCAGATTGCGATTGAGAGGGAATGCCTTCAGAATAAGGTGCTTTTGTTTTTTTTCTTGCTTGTTTGGTTTCTCTCTAAGTACCTTACAAAATAATATCCTTTATGCCTCCATATTTTCATTCAAGTTCGGAAGGGTTGTGCAATAAATTCCGGAGTTCTGAATGGGATAATGTTGGCGTTTATTTTTGAAGAAATGCTGGATAAGTTCATTCCCAACTGTGTGTGCCCCCTGGAAAACAAAATTTGGACTTTTTTGCATAATTCACTGAATAAAAATATTTTCTTTTGGGTGGATAAAGTTGCTCTTTTTATTGTGTATCAACTTGGAGCTGGAATGGAATGTAAAATTTGGTTCTTTCTTGAAAAGTTAATTGCATTTCGAATGTGTCCTTGGAAATATTTGAATCAGGTGGAGAAATTATCCCTATCCCAAATGACAATGAGATTGTTTGACAAATGACAGATTGAATTTACTTTCACAGGTCGAGGCCAAGAGATTGAACAAGAATGGGGATTATAAGAGGATGTGTGCATACATGGCCATTCTTGTTGTGGTCCTATCAGGTCTAGCTGCACATTTGTTTCAGAAAAATATTATAGTCCTCTAGTGTTTGATTCTTGACATTGTCTGACAAACGGATTCTTTATGTTTGTTTCCTTTTTCTTTTAGTTATGGATTGCCATTTTTCTTTTTTTCCCTTTCTGTAAGTTGTGTACATTTTATTTGTTGGATTTGCTGTTTGTAGTTTGTAGACTGATGCTACATTTTAGCAGGGGGTAGCTGCTTTCTTTGTTTGATGGTGTATGGATAATTGAATCATGAGTGGATAAATTGTTATGTGCATTTCTTTGTTTGCAATATTTGTCACATTTTTAATTGTGGTTTTCAATTTGATGCATAATTCCTAGATTTGAGTTTTGTTTCTCAATTTCTGCATCTGCATCTGATTCGAGTTTGGGGGCTTCAGATTTAAGGTACTCAGTTTGTCTTTGGTTTTGGAAATTAGCTCGTGTGTTGGGTCTTTGAGCGACAACGGTGGGTTTGTAAGATGCATGAGAGAAAATTGTTATATATCAGTAATACTAAGGAGTCAACTGTTGGTTCCGCTGCATCATATAGGTTCTTGTCTTGTTTAGTTGTTTGGTAGTCCTAGACTCCAAGTTGTGTATGAGTTATAGTTTTTGAATCATTTCTCTACTTTTATGAGAGTGTTTGTTTGTTAGTAAGCTATTTTCCATGGTTGTTTGTATAATTTAAAAGGGAGATGGATCTAGACTTTGTATACAGCTCAATGGACATGATGTACTTTCTTTTAAATCTTATAAAAAGTTAAAATGCTATCGAAAAAAATACAATTGGTACTCATGAATAAAATTTAAATTATTAGGGTGTGTTTGGATATAAATATATTCAATTATATCTAAATCTATATTTATAATCTAACTCAACTTTAGCACAATTTTACTATTATCAATATAACATATTACATCAATTTTAATTCACTATTTATCCATTTACATAATTGTTAAAAACTATCATTTCATATAATTTGTCTCTTATTTTTGTATAATTTTTTTTTTAATTATTTTATTTTAAATATTATTTTAATTTAAACGTATACCACTAATAATAAATTATATCATTTTATTTCAAATTAACTCTGTTTAAGAAAAAAAAAATTATTTTGTGTAGATATATGCCCTTTGGAATCGGGCTTTAGTAAAAGAGCGCCTTTTACTTTTACTCGGAAAGAAGCGCTTTGTTTACCTCTAATCAATATCTCCTATAAAAGCCACCAAACCAGTAGTTCCAAAAAAACCCTAGCCGCAAATTTCAGGTCACTCTCTCTCTCTCTCTTAAGCCTTTATCTTTCAATAAATTTTTTTTTTTCTTCTTCAATATATTGACATTGATTTTTATGTACTCAGAATGATTACGCACCAAACAGCCCTTCGCAGGTATTAGTCCCAATTTGCGAAGAAAAAATCGAGATTTAGGTTATTTTCGGTGCTAAAGCAATTCAATTATTTTTTGGTAAGAACATTTTGTTTGGATCTTCATTTAGTGAATTGAATTTCTAATATGTTTTGCCAAAAATATACGTGATTTTATTTTTTCTGTTTTTGTTAAGTATTCCGATTTACGAGGATCCGAAGCAAAATGATGAGGAATTTTTTATCCGAATCTCATTGCGGAATTTTCATATCCTTCAAAGTTCTCTGATTGCTTCCCCCTTAATTTTATTCAACTTATATGTCATTTACTTAAATTTTTATTCATCAATGGAGTAATAAATGTGCAAATTAGACTCCAGGTGCTCTAATTTTCATTTTTCATATAAAATAGTATGGAGAAACGAAATAAATAATCTGGAAAGTATTTTTCAGAAATTATGATTTTTTGTTTTTGGTAATTTTTTATTGTTCATGTGTTTTGCACTTTTGCTGCTTTACATTTCTTTATTTTGAAATTTTCTTTGCTGTTGCTGCTTGCTATTATAATTTTATTTGTTTTATATTCTTTAAATTTTAATTAGACCCTCCATATTTTGATTGTAAAGAAACATACATGATATTTCAGATATAATTGATTTACGTCAGCACTTTAATTGTTTGAAACGAATGAACAGTGAAAGGTGCAAATGCAAACGCATAAAAGAAAGGCTTAAAATGCTACCAAGTGGTAAACAGTTTAATCCAATTTTAAGGGTGTATTTGTTTATAAATAAATTCAATTTATATTACTTGGATGACTGAATTTTTATGGTACTTGCATTTTGACTACGGTAGGTCATATCCTTGTAACAAGTGAATTGAATTCATAATTTAACTTACCTTAATTATTTGCAATATTATTAATACAACTAAATAATATAATTAATTATTTCTATGCATCACATAAATTCATTGTTCATTAACTTATATAATTTTAATTAAATTACACTTCACATCATCTCTAGTTTTATATCAAATCAATGTTAATTATTCTATTTTAAATATTATTTTAATTTAAATTCAAATTTTTACTAACACTTAACTATATTATATTTTCAAAATTAATAATAATTAACCAAAAAAGCCCAAGCGTTATTTTCAAAATTAATAATAATTTTTAAAATATTTGGTTGGGTGAAGTTGAATAGGAAATTATTTTTGACTTATTTTCCAACTGTATGAATACTATAGGATAGAAAAACATTTTCGACAGATTTGTTACGTGAATGTAATGCAAATCCAATCTTTTCTTTTTGTTGAGTAATTTTAATCACATGTTTATACACATTCATATTTTTTAATATGTTAATTGCTACAGATTTAATCAAAAAAATAATTGACGGTGTAGATTAGGAAATAAATTTCGAAAGATGTTGATGTTATAACATTACTGTTATTGTAGTGCTCCGATTCATTTTAAAGAACATAGTTCAGTTCATGCATTTTATTTTATTATTAAGTTTTGTTCTTTTAATAGAAATTAAGTGGATGTCTTTGTCTATTTATATATATAATATAATTGATGACACATATATCTGATGATACATCATTTAATAAAACTTAGTTAATAAAACCTCTATAATTTTTCTGCCAAAAACCGTTACTCTCCAATATTATTATTTTTACATTAATTCATCATATCCCATTAATGATAATATATTTTTTTTCTTGCACTTTTTTTTGGTTAATTAAGACAAAAATTGTTATATTTTATATTACTTGAGTAATAATTGTTTTTTTTTTATTGTATCATATAATAGTTATTATTAAATTAATAATTATTTTTTACACTAAATGATGTACAAAAGTTTCATAAACATAAAAATAGAAGTTATTTTTTCTAAGACAAATGTTATATATTTTTTTATCTAATTAAATGATTTTTTGTTGAATAAATTAATTTATTTTAATTTCATAGTAAAATCTCTTAAAATCGCACGGCCACAAGCAAGCTTTGAACTTTCATTCAGGTCTTTAGTTCCCGTCGAATCGCGAGCCAACAGTATGAGTTGCGAAATCAAACAAAATCTTTGTAGTTTTTTCAACCTATTACTTAAGTAATAATTGTATTTTTTTTATTGTATCATATAATAGTTATTATTAAATTAATAATTATATTATACACTAAATGATGTACAAAAGTTTCATAAACATAAAAATTGAAATTAGTTTTTCTAAGACAAATGTTATATATATTTTTTTTATCTAATTAAATGTTTGTTTGATAAATAAATTAATTTATTTTAATTTTATAGTAAAATCTCTTAAAATCGCACAAACAATTGTTATAATAAATTCAATATTTTTCAGTTAATTAATTGGTCATGATCCTTCAAAATTCAAAATTTACATTATTTATTACCTTTTATGCAATCATTTTAATGAGTCATATGCAATCAAATAGTTATGTACTACTTATTTTAACCAATGATCAAATTTTAAAATGTAATACCATTATCTAATTTATACTTTTAATATTATATGTATATAAATAACTTATAATACTCTATATTTGAAATATAATACCATTATATAACTTACAAATTTAATATTATATGTATACAAAATATTGTAATATTTTATTTACATCTGTGCAAATGCACAAAGTCGTACTAGTATATATAATTGCTAGCAAAATATTTAATAAAGCTTCAAAATTTTTCCTCCAAAAGATGATAGTTTGCGCTAATTAAGTTTCTATATTTTTTATTTATTTTATTATATAATAAAATTTCGTACACAATTGCTATAATAATAATTTCAATATTGTTTTATCTAATTAATTGTTCATAATTAAAAAATATTGCAAAAATTATATAACTGCTATCGATATAAAGTTTAATATGTAAGTTAATAGTTATGTTTATTCGTTCATTTTTACTAATGGTGAAATTTATAAAATGTGATAGGCTCATCATCTAACTTATGATTTAAATATTTCATACACATACATATAATATATAAAATTTTATTTGTACTTGTACATGTGCACAAGATCGAATGCAAGTTTTATTAATAAATGGAGATTAATTAGATATCCCCATCTGTTTAATTTTTTCTAATTAAATTCCTTTAATAATAATTTTTATTAATTAATTAAAGCCTAAACAAAGAAGTATAATGAGTATTAATCTAAGATAAATATAACACATAATTTCAGTCCTCTCCCATAGATAAACCGTGTAAAGAGAGAGGAGAAAAGAGAGAGTCCAATTTTCTTGGTCCACCAAGTCTTTGATCAAAAGGAATCATTTTCCTTCCAAATTTAAGGATCATTTCCCTTCTCCAAGTCTTCTAAATCTAACACTATAAATTATATCCCTCCAAATCAGATTTTCCACTCTCTCACGTGAAAAAAAGAAATATTCGAGTCTCTCCCAAGAATCCCATACGGCCTAAAAAAAAAAGAAAAAAAAAAAAGAGGAAGAGAGAAACTCCATCCTTCACACGGCCAAGCCTTTCTCTCGGCCGAGCCTACCACCGCACGCCTGCTGTCCGCGCATCACCCTGCGATCGCGGGCCAAGGCCCAAACACCTTACAGCCTCAACGCCAGCAATTCCGTTTGGTCTTGGTTTAAATTGTTTATCAAGAGGTTTTAGAAAGAACTTAAAATCTGAAAAAATTGGATTATTATGCTTGATTAAAACTTAGGATTAATTGAGGTTTTAAGATCAAGTGCATACTTAAGAGTAGTAGTGAAAAGAGATTAATTTTTGTGTTAATTTTATCGTTATGCATGGGTTTTCAATTGGGTTTGAAGGCTGGAATTTATGCTATGTTATGCCATGTTATGAAGTGCAAAAGTATGTTTAGTTGATTGGTCTAAGTTGCTATCATATATGATGTTCGGGAATTATTGGCATGATCAACATGTGATTTCGTTGATTTCTGTCACTCTGTTCATGAGTTGTTTTGGCCTTCAAGATCGAGTTTCTTGATGTTGCACTCTTCATATGAATTGTATTTAGTTTTGTTGGCTTTCTATGAGTTCAAAAATCATGCAAAAACCTG